AAGAACAGAAGAAAGAGATTGGTGAGGGGAACACTCATAATTTTTAACTTCTGGTACAGCAGAGGAACTGATTAAACAGATCTGACATTCAACCAAAACAAAAATTGGCTATAAAAATTGGTGTTATGACACCAGCACTCCTGGTTGAATATTGGATTTGGAGATGAGAACATCCAGGGAGGATGAAGAAAAGATTCTAGTTGTTTCTGAAGTTATAAGAAACTAATACTTAAATACTTACTTAATTATCTGCTTACCCACTAAATGCTTTAGCCATGGTTATAGGAATGATCTCCTTTTGATACTATTTTTTCACATGTCTCCTAAGGCTAAGGAGCATTTGTAATTAGGTACTGAAGCATATCTGTTCTACAGGTGCCAAAGTAATTATGAAGCAATTGATTAAATGTCATACCTGCTTCTTTTAATTGAAAACATTCAAATTGCAGACTTAGAGTTGTCAAATGGTTTTCCAGATGAAAAGCTTAAGCATTGGATATGTAGAAACATAAGTCAGGTTTCTTATCACTATGTTTAATAATAAAAAGCTCACCTAGATTAAATATAATAAAATGAACAAGTCATAGTGTCCAGCAGAAATGACACTTTGGAATCCCCAGCTACTCCTCTGATGTCAACGGCACACATCCTTGGCACGATTACTGAAGAAAAACTGAGGTAGTCTTCTTAGCCCTACCTAAAGACTTTCACAGGCCAGGAAGATCATTTCACTTAATTTCATTTCTCCCGACTCCCTGGACTATCCCAGTAAGATGCTGGAACCCAGAGGAATATTGGAACAACAACAAAGTAACAGATTCTCTGGCCATCTCTTTGGATAGGTTTTGATCCTGGATTCCTAGAGAGTAAATGTTGGAAAGAACTTTAAGATGTTTTGGTGCATCCTTATTTCACAGATGAAGAGACTGAAGTCAGAGGGGTACCAGAGTCACAGAATTGCTAATGCAAGGCCAGAATTTTCCTCTCATTTCCTTGGGTATTGCTGTGTTACACTTCCACTACTCTGTACTGCTGTCCATTACCTTTCATCTTGTGTTGGGTTATGGGTCATAGTGTGGGCCTGGGGCAGAGAAGAGAAGCTGCTGATAAAACATCTTCAGAAATACAAGATACTGCATCTATGTCTATGTGTTTACATGGTGGCTACAGACACTTTTGCTCCAAGATCTCTGTGGTTTACTTGCTGCCATTCTAAAGTCCTAGGGAAATTTGCTCTGGACATTTTTTTTAATGTTTGTTTATTTTTGAGAGAGAGAGAGAGAGAGAGAGAGAATATGAATATGAGTGGACGAGGGGCAGAGAGAGGGAGGACACAGAATCCAAAGCAGACTTCAGGCTCTGAGCTGTCAGACAGAGTCCTACATGGGGCTTGAATTCACAAACCATGAGATCATGATCTGAGCCAAAGTCAAACGCTTAACCAACTGAGCCACCCTCCAGGTTCCCTGGACATTTCTAAAGAAACTGAGAACCAGGGCACCTGGATGGCTCACTCGGTTAAGTGTTTGCCTTCAGCTCAGGTCATAATGTTGCAGTTTGTGAGTTCGAGCCCTACATGGGGCTCTGTGCTGTCAGCACAGAGGTTGCTTCAGATCCTCTGTCCCCCCCTCCACCTCCCCGCCCCTGCCCCATTCATTCTCTATCTCTCTCTTAAAAATAAACAAACTTTGAAAAAAAAAAAAAAGAAGAAAAGAAACTGAGAACCAGCCCACTGATTTTATCCTCTGCAGGAGAATACAGAGTCCTAAACATCACAACAGTAGTCATGCAACATAATTTATTTTCAGATAAATAAGTCCCTAAGAAAATATCTTTCATTTTAATCTAATGCATATTAGAGTGCATGCATATTCATGGTATCAGTTCTTTTTGCTTACATTATTTCCTCTGTTTTTAAAATGAAGACAAGCATTATTTCCCTTCTGTAAACTTAAAACTTTTTATTCTAGAAGAAAACATCTATACGGAAGAGTAAACATCAATGCACAATAATTATAAAGCATACTACCTTACCTCCATAATCACCACAGCTCAAGAAATAAAACACTATTTGCACAGAGAAGCCTTTCCACCCCTGGGTTTTGCTTTCTGATTCCAAAAATTCCTTCCCCTTATAAAAAAGAAAAAAACAACAACCAGTAGACTGAACTTTGTGATATCCATTTAGGTTTTATATTCTGTTTCTATTTAAAATTTTTTTTTAATATTTATTTTTGAGAGAGAGAGATATAGAGATAGAGCATGAGCAGGGGAGGGGCAGAGAGAGAGACACAGGATCCGAAGTAGGCTCCAGGCTCTGAGCTGTCAACACAGAGCCCTACATGGGGCTTGAACTCACACACTGAGAGATCATGACCTGAGCAGAAGTTGTACGCTTAACCGACTGAGCTCCCCTGGCCTCCCCCTGCCACTGCACTGTTTCTATTTTTTAGTCATTAGGCAAGAAATCACAATATACATACTTCACTTACCAAAGTTTCTCATTATACATACCTTTACTATTTCACTTTGTATTGTTGATGTTGAGACATCACCTGCCAGTCTAACAGTTCCTTCCCTGAAGGTAATGTGTGTCTTTTCTATGGCTGCTTTTAGGACTTATTATATGTCTAAATGTGCATATTTTAAAACAATCTGCTAGTGATATTCTGGGATTCTTGAATCTGGATGATGACTGCACTTCAAATAATTTTTCTAACCTAATTTTCTAGTTCACCAATTCTCTCTTTAGCTCTAATACACTTTGAACCTATTCATGGAATTTTTAATCACAGTATGATTTTTGCCAGTTTTATTTGATTCTTTTTCAAAGGAGTTTTTTTGTTTGTTTCTTTTAGTTTCCTGTGCTTTGCAGAGCTTATTACAAGTTTGTCTTTTACTGCCTTAAATAGAGTAAGCCCACTGGCATGTCTGGTTAGTTTTTATGGTGTCCTTGTCATTGTTTTTAAATATTATTTGTGGATAGGATTTGAGGCCTAAGATGTAAATCTTTTCTTCCTGGAATAGTTGCATTTTTCCTCTCAATAGCCTAAGGGTAATAATGATCCAAACTCACCCTAAACCAACTTCAAGGATTTAGGTATTCTGGTCCATTGAAGTGATTTGAAGGTGAGCTGGTTTCCTTCTGGTTTAACTGCGGTCCCAGAAGGGAACCGTTTGAGATCCTAATTTACTGAGGAGAGGATGGTCTACTAGGTTTCTCACTTTGAAAACTCTGGGAGTTGAGACATGAAAACAAAAATTTGAACCTGGGAGAACAGCAAACACTCTCAGAGTCCAAGCAACTGCTAAACTCTGCTCATCTCTCTGGGTTCTTGTTCTTCACATTTAACCTACCATTTTCTCCTCTTTGCTAAACCTTGTTAAGCTTTTTAATAATATTTTTTAGACCTTTTGTTTTGCAATTTTGGTTTGGTGTGGGAATTTGTTTGAATGTGGGCTGCCGTAACCGAAAAACTAGTACACATGCATATTTGCACAGTCAAATCCCCAAGTTGAAATCTGTTCCCTTGTAATATGAGTGATCTAAATTAAAGCCTATAGATATTAAATAAGTAACTGTGCTAGATCTTAAATAAATTAAGGCAATTCATGCAAGCATAGTTGTGGCAAATGAATCCACCTGCATGTCTAGTCCTATCATAAATGGAGTTCTTTCAGAAAGCAATATGGCATTACATAGAGTTATAACACGTTTAAACATTTTGACCATGTCATAAAAGCAAAATGATAAAAATCACCCTAATATTCGACATTAGTGGAATGCTTTAACAAATTATATATTAACATTATGTCCTAATATATAGTCAAAAAGGATGATCGTGACAACTATGTAAAAAATGGAACTTTTATGATATATGATTAAATGACAATAGCAGGACACAAAGTAATATGTTTGCTCTATAAAAACAAGTATATATCTGTAAGATAGAAAATATATACAGATAGTATTTCTATTTCACAGTAGGGCTGAGCAACTTTTTTTCCTTAAACATTCTTAATACTGCTATACACTCTTTTCAAGAATAAAGACAGATTTCAAAACTTAAGCAAAAAACTTTCATGCTAATTATTTTCCTAACTTCAGTGAGAAAATTTCATATAAAAAAAGAAAAAAGGAAAGAAAAGAACAGCTTAAATTTATAATCCAGTAACTCAATCTGCAAGCAGACTTAATACCATTTTGGCTCCTTCTTTGTGTGATCTCTGTGTAGCTTTCAAAAACACCTTTGGCTTCCTAGAAAGCTTAAGATGTATTGAAAAAAAGGGAAAAAAGAAAAAAAATTGACAAAAATCTGGTGCCTTACCATTGTCACTAGACCTTGATTCAATTCTCAATGGATCAGGTTCAGAGAAGATACATTTCTATAATTTGAAGATGATTCATCTGTGGTTTTGCTCTCTGACAGGAGGGTATAACATAAATATATGTTTATATATAATCATTCAATTTTTAAGCTTTTTTTTCACTTTTGAAAGTTTTTCATAAGTTACATCATTCCCCAAATTTCATCTCAAATCTTCCTTTGTTTGACAAAGTGCTAATTCTCCTTCAATTTCAATTTTAAAAATCAGAAGGGCATTATTTGATTCTGTAAACAAAATTAGAACCCAACCCCCCACCTTTATTTGAACAGTACTCCATTCCTAGCAGTAATTCAGATGTTTTACTACATATTTGTTTACTGTATGTCTCCAATATGAAAGCATAATCAGACAAATGGTGCCTGTCCTATGTAAATGTGTTATTTAATATGTTATGTGTTATATATTCATATATAACAAGCAAATTTCTGGTCAGGTAATTTTCAAGGGCACAGTTTTATTTGTTTTCATGTTCTTTTGGTTGTGGAATTCTTTCATTTTGGTGCAATAGAGGTGACTTTATGAAGAGAAGAGATTACTTTGTGTTCAAATATAACTAACAGAGTAACATCTTCATGAAATGTCACTTTTGCTTTTTCTTCCTTTTTATCCAGGAGAAATCAATGATTCTGCTAAGTCCAAGATGTTTACATTTCATGATGGAGGAGTACAAATTTCATGCAAATTCAGTGAGATTGCCTGGCAATTTAAAATGAAGTTGCTAAAAGGGACAGAAGTACTCTGTGATCTCACTAAGACAAAAGAAAGTGGTAATACAGTGTCCATTAAGGATCTGAAATCCTGTCAAACTCAGTTATCCAATGACAGTGTTTCCTTTTTCTTGTATAATTTGGACAATTCTTATGCCAGCTATTACACCTGTGAACTGTCAATTTTTGATCCTCCTCCTTTTCAGAAGAAGAATATCAGCAGAGAATATTTGAATATTTATGGTAAGACCTGTTTTCATCTTTCAGACTTAAGAGTAGATTCCCATTTTAATAGCTTTTCTTGCTAATTAAAACAACTAGGCTAATGAGTATCTTTTTTTAAAAAAAAAGTTTATTTTGAGACGGGGGAGAGAGAGAGAGAGAGAGAGAGAGAGAGAGAGAGAATCCTAAGGAGGCTCCACACTGTCAGCACAGAGACTAATGTGGGGCTCAGACTTATGAACTGTGAGGTCATGACCTGAGGGAACCAAAAATCAAGGGTCGGATATTTAACCCAGTGAGCCACTTAGGTGCCTCTAAGTATCTTTTGTGGAGTTCATTTTGGTGCAATTTATGGCAATCACTTACTACAAAAATATGCAAAGGATAATTTATTAATAATTAGTATTAATGAGTAATATGCAATTTGATCATGTAGACTATTGTGTTAAAAATAGGTTACATTGGGGCACCTGGGTGGCTCAGTCAGTTAAGTGTCTGACTCTTGATTTCGGCTCAGGTCATGATTTCATAGTCAGCCTTCTTGAGACTCCCTCTGTCCTTCTTCTGCCCTTCCTCCTCCCTTGTTCTTTCTCTCTCAAAGAAAGGAAGGAAGGAAAGAAGGGAGGAAGGAAGGGAGGAAGAAAGAAAAAATAGGTCCTGTTGTCTTTAAAATGCATATGCCATTAAAAATCAGGAAAAATTTTAAGACAATTACCCAAACCTATGGCCTAATGGCCATGGCCTCTATTCATGTAAAACTTAAGGTTTTGGTTAGCATTGGGTTTGTGGAATCGAGTAAGGTGATTGAAGGTAATAATTTTATATTATTACTTTGCCTACTTACTCTTCTACAAAAACAGACAGAAAAGTCCTTTCTATTAACCACATTTGTAAAGATACGTGCACAGAATCTTTTAAGTTTTAGTCTTTAAATGCTTGCTATAATACTAAGATGGTGTTATTTACTGTGCATTGGATGGCATAATTGTAATGAAGGCAAGCTGCATTTGATTAAATCACCTTTTCAAATTTGATAGAACTTGTGATTCAGCACCAAAAGAAGATTTGTTTCTCACAGTTTTTTCTTAACATGTCTCCTTTCCAATCCAGAATCACAGATGTGCTGCCAACTGAAGTTCTGGTTACCCATAGGGTGTTCAGCTTTTGTTGTAGTCTACATTTTTGGATGTGTATTTCTTTGTTGGCTTACAAAAAAGGTGAGCAATGTCTGCACTTTTCTCACATCTGCTTTCCTGAAGAGAATCAGTAGTTATTTACTCAAAGAACCTACTGCTCTTGCCAGAGTAATTTCATTAACAGACAATTTCTTTTCCACAAGATGTGTCTACTAATTAAACTACTAACTTGGAATAGAAGCTTACTTTATTAGCTGCTTCATTCTTAAAGAGTTTGATGGCTTATAGAAAGAACTGTTATTATTATTATTTAAAAAAAGATGAAGGATTTGGGGCCAAGAAAACAAAAAGTTAGGACAAAGATTGAAACATAAAAATAGATGCTTCTGACTTCTGAGAACCATTAAATTTGGGCTGCAAATTTGAATCTAAGTTTCCATAGTCAGGGCAAAGATGAAACAATCAGTTTTGTTTCATTCAACCTGTCAGTTAAACAATCTATGAGAAAGTCTTGTAAGGTGCCAGTCTTAGCGGAGAAGGAAATGGCCAAATTCTTCCCATGGCTAAGTTGTCCCATGACTCTGAGTCCCATGACTCTGTTTTTGAAGAACATCATGGAAAAGCTAGGAAGAGAACTTGACAATTACAAAACAATCTATCTGTGCTGGAGGATATTATTTCCAGTCTTTCATAATACAGTTTCTCAATGAAAGAATTTACACCATTCTGCATTTTACACAGGTATGTTAATACTCAACGTATATCTACAGTGTTAGCAGCAGCCAGACCAATGATGGGTGTATCTGTGAAGAATGGAATTTAAAAAGAGACAGAAATAAGGAAGAGAGTGAGGTAGGGCTCACTATCTAAATCTACAAAGGAAGAGAAAAATAAGAACAAAAATGAGGGAGGAAATTTGGTAGAAGGCTCTTTTTATTTAAAGCCCTTTTCATATTGTTCTCCCACTTACCTGAAAGTCAGGAGCCTACACCACATCCTAATGCTTTTGTCAACCAAAAATAGAAAACAGCAAAAAATACAAGGGATGAAGATGAGGAAGAGCAGATGACAAACCATGTTTCTGACTTTTCTTTCAGAAGTATCGATCTGGTGGGCATGACCCTAACAGTGAATACATGTTCATGGCAGCAGTGAACACAGCCAAGAAACCTGGATTCACAGGTAAGGCCCCATCTGGGGATATGGGGAGAGCTGAGTATTCTTCACGTTACACTTGGAATTTCAATTTTTTATTTTATTTATTTTAATGTTTGAGAGAGGGAGAGAGAGAGACTGAGCATGTGTGTGAGCACAAGCTGGGGAGTGGCAGAGAGAGAGAGAGGGAGAGAGAATCCCAAGTAGGCTCTGCACAGTCAGCTCAGAGCCTGATGCGGGGCTCAATCCCATAGAACCATGAGATCATGACCTGAGCTGAAATGAAAGAGTCTGACCCTCAACTGACTGAGCCATCCATATGCTCCTAATTTTTTATTTGAAAGGAAGGCCAAATATCTCTTTGGCCTGGTTTTAGTATTTTCTGTGAAAATCTGAATTTGTCACTTCAAGATTATACTTTCTGCAGTACATTGCAAACAAACAATACATTTGTAAACCACTAATAAAAAAATAAATGAGCAAAGGATCCATAAAGTTTTCCAACTGATATTTTAAAAACTAGCATGATTCAGAATCTTCCTTGGTAAAAATTTCTCTAATTCACCCGATGAGCATTTATTTGTTATCAGTTAGGTACAAATTACAGTAAGGCAGGTATGGGAGATGCACAGGTATATGAAGGGTCTTGGACAGCGATTTGGAAGAGAGATCAGGCTGGTACCACCAAGGGAAGGAGGAGGAGCCAGCGAGGCCCTTGTTATTCTGGTAAAAAGAAGGTGGAGCATGAGAGGGCATAGATGAATGCACAAGGCCAGTTACGTGTGACCTTTGACTTTCCCCATTCAGAGTGAACACTGTCAGTTTGAGGTTCATCAAGGTGAGGGGCAGCTAGAAAGCTTGAAGTATCCCTCGTGGAAAATTTGTAAGTCTTAGGCCTTTGAGGTTGCGATGAGAGGAGGTATGTAATGAGACAGAAGGCCTTGAAGTTTTGCCAGCATTCAGTGGTAAAGGACTTGTATAAAAGGGATGCAAACAGCACCTATAATCAGGGAATTAAAGCATGGGAAGGGACCTAAATGGTCCTTTGGTCTGTCTCTTCATTTTTTGGGTGAGAGAAGTCAATGCCCAGGATGTTCAGGGACTCTTGGTTCCTTAGAGATTTCCTACCATATCTTGGTCACTGACAAAGAGCATGCATTTCATTGCTTTCCTATTAAAAAGTATTTTCTTTTAATCTCTGTGCTTATTATAATGCACCTGTTTTAGTCTGGATTCCCAGAAAAGCAGACCCTGGGACAGAGACTTGGGTATAGGTAGTTTATTCAGAAGGTGACCCCAGGAAAAACGGGTGAGGAAGCAGAGAGAGTGAGACAGGCAAGGAGGAAAAGCAAATGAAGGTTGCATTACTGAGATCTCAGTGGGAGGCCACAGAACCTCTGAGAAGTGTATGGATATCTCCCAGAATTGTTCTTCTGAAGGATGGCAAGTTGGGTATTTATCCACTGAATCCCATCCCCACTGGGTTGGAGTTGCCTGTAGCGTTCATGAACTTTCCCTCACCCATCCTGGAGCCATGCTCTGTGCTTGGCTCACAAGTCTACAGAGAAATCCCTGAGGCATAAAGCAGAGTAATGCATGGTGGGACTGTTATTCTAGAATGGACAGCATGTGCAGAAGTGTCTACCTCAGCTGTGGCTGTGATCGGAGGCGGGCAGTTTCACAGCTCAACTACCAACTGTAATAACTGAAAATGACCATAGTGTAAGCTTCTGGAGGGAAGGTGGGTCTCTCCTCTGTATTCTGAAAGCAATATGCATACACAGGTTCAAGGAGAGCATGTCTCAGCACCTCCATCAAATATTTATCGCATGATTATGTAAATAGTATCATGCCATGTGATCTGTGTTGGGTAGACTCAAGAAAGTCCTTGTCTTCAGTCTGTAATGTCTTTGGGAAAGCTGATGTGTTTACATAGAGGGTAGAATCATATGATAGTATCTAAAGTCCTCAGTTGTAAAGTCAAGAGTTAGGTAATGTCTATTACAGAAGTTAGGAGTGGGCTGGGTAAAACACGGAAAAGGTGGAGCTGGTGCTAGTCTTGAAGCATAAAGAAGAGTTTGGATGGTGTGTGTGTGTGTGTGTGTGTGTGTGTGTGTGTGTGTACGTATAAGAGGCAGATGAAAAGGGCAAACTTGTTGAAGGGAATTGGAACAGAGTGCCTTTAAAAATGTTATGCTTCATTTTGTTACAGGTGTGACCCATAATTTGGAACTCTGTGGCACCCAGGCATGAACCACGTTGGCCAGTTCCCCCCTGATTTGAAGTGCAAGATTCCCATGTTCCCTGGACCAGAGAGTCAGGCTTGATTTGAGTACATGCATCATCTGCTGGTGTTTTGTTCATTCTGAACTAGTGACTCTACCAGTCAACAGGGGTTTTAACAGGCTGCCTCAGTACTGTTGGGTTATCAAAACACCCTATTGCAACTAGTTTTATAGAAAGCCCAGCTCATGTGTGCTCAACAAATAGACGTCACTGGGATGGAATTCCTATCTTCATATCTGCTTCTAGCAATGCACTAGCCAAAAGAACAAACACATCTTCAGATATTTTTAAAAGATGCCACAGGTACTGAATCTGCAAAGCAAATGGGTAGCCAAGGGCCAGTATCTCTCTGCACTTCACCTACAAACTACCTCTTCCTCTAGGGCTGAGAATTCCTTTTTAATCATATGGTAGGGGAAGGTGCTTCAAAATTGTAACTATTTTATTTCTGAGGTGTCGATATGTAACTGTACTATTATAATACGTTAGTACACAGTACTCTTTTCCAACTGCTGAACCCCAGTCCTCTACTCCCAAGAGTTTAGATGCCTTCTTCTGCCTTCAATTTTCCTTTTTAAAATACTTCTACATGACTACTTGACATTCTTTAAAAAAATTTTTTTTAATGCTTATTCATTCTTGAGAGAGAAAGAGCATGAGCAGGGGAGGGGCAAAGAGAGAAGGAGACACAGAATCTGAAGCAGGCTGTAGGCTCTGCACTGTCAGCACAGAGCCGGACGCATGGCTCAAATGAGATCATGACCTGAGCTGAAGTTGGCACTTAACTGACTCAGCCACCCATGTGCCTGACAGACCATCTCAAGGAGGGGGCTGTGTCTACATTTTTTCCCTCTACTGCTCATAAAACACACATTATGTGTATTTAATTGCAGCCTAATGAATGTATTTGCCTTGTATTTTCCCTATAAGAATATTTTTGTTCCAGAAAGACATCTTATTTTCCCAAATTCAGCTAAAATGATTTACTTTGTTGACCTGTTTCTACCACCTTAGTGGTAGAAAATATTGCCTAGAATCAGAAGTGATTTTATTGTATGAATCGGTTTTCTATGATTATCTATGTTTTCATGGTGCTATTTCCAAGCTAGGCTGTTTCTGTAAGTCATATTAGGATTGCAAACAAACAAACAAACAAAACCCCCCAGAAAACCATCTTTCACTGTCAAACATCGACCTGGGGGTAGAGCCAATGATCCATTTCGTGGAAAGCTGTAGTTCCTGGAGGTCACTGACAAACTATAACCAAGATGGCCTCCTGGCTTGACAGGTTGAAATGGCCCCATCACCCTGGAGCAGACATCCAGATCTGGGTGGAATTGCAAGGGTTGAGAGACTCCCATGAGCCAAGGACAGCCAGCTGCTCTTACCCCCAGAGGGTGGCGTCACCCTAGGGACTATGGCAAATCTGCCTGCATTTGTACCTCCAGGGTCTTGGAGAAAGCACAGATGTGTCAGGGAACATCAGCATGATTCCTTCTCCTAGAAACTGGCCTTGCCCCTTCAAGAGTCTTCCTTTGAATTCAGTTTGGCTGGAAATATTCTTAAATACATATAATATGTGATTGGTCTTAGCTAGAATATTTTCTCTGCTTCCTGTTCGCATGCCCAATGCTTCTGAGGCATCCAATGTATGTGCAACAACATTTTTAACTTTAGGTAAAGTGGGGTTATTTAGTAGTTTTAAAATTTGTAGGTGCCTGTTTATAGTTTACTTTAAAAATGAGACCAGATATGTCATTATGCATACTTATGTTGTTGTAAGCATGTGTAATGATGGGTATGTACAGTACAGTACTGCATTTGTAATTTGAATCAAGTACGGTGTTTCCAGCTGACTTGAACAACCTGGCTGGCTCTGCACATGTGTTCCCAGAGTTGTTTGCAGCTTTTTGGATGGGGGGTTGGAGTGGGGAGTAGAGCCTTCATGTGGGGTCCACCTGGCCTGGTTGTCCAAACTGTGCTCTAAAGCATCCTCATCCTTAGCAGTGGACATTTCAAAGTGGATTATTAAATGATACAATTTCTGTGAAATAAAGACTTGTTTTAAGAAGAGCTACTCATGAAATAGATTTTAGAAGTATTAGGAAATTAAGGAATAAACATTTGATATTCAACAACTGAAAATATTCAGAGTGTTTTCTTGGGGGAAGGAAATGGTTCCCTTTGGTGTAAGCTAGCACTTACAAATTTGATCTTATCCTTGAGGTGGTTACATTGCTCGGAACAGCCTCTCATCATTTTTTTTTTTTAAATATTGGAACAACCACAAACTTATATAAAAAATTTGGAAGTACAACAGAAGAACTCTTCTTTTCCTCAGTAAGTTTCTAGCCTCATACCCTAACACCTTTAGACAGTATGTATTTCCTATAAACAAGAACACTCTCTTCTCTATAATCACAGTGCAACCATCAACATCAGGAAAGTAACACAGATACACAGCAGCCATCTCATCCTCAAGCTGTATTCAAGTTTGTCCAGGGGTCCTCCCAATGTATTTTATAGCAAAAGATTATGTTCACAATCCCTTTTTGTATTTGGTTGTCATGCCTTTATAGGGTCTTTCAGTCTAGGCAGTTCCTCAGCCTAGACTTTCATGGCCTTGGGTCTTTCGAATACTACAGCAGTTATTTTGTAGAATGCCCCTTGCTTTGGGTCAGGCTGAGGTTTCTTGATAATTAAAATCAAGTTATTGATCTTTGGCAAAAATAGCCCAAAAGAGATGCTGTGTTTCTTTTAACTGCATCTGGTCAGGTGGCTTACAATCTTGATTTGTTATATTACTGATAATCATTTTCATCACTAAATTAAGCTGGTGTCTGTCAAGCATCTCCACTGTAAAATACTCTTTTCTTCTTTATAGTTGATAAGTAGTTTATGGGAGGGTACTTTGAAAGCTTATACATCTTCCATTTCTTGTCAAAATTTCTATTTATTCATTCATTTATTTTTACCTGTATGGTTTCTTGTTTTATTCAATGGGTAAACATTTGTTACTATCATTATTTTATTTTGATGCTTCAGTTATCCCATTCTTGGCCAGAATGAGCCTAGTTAAACTGCCCCTGGTGTCTTTCTACCATATCCTCATCAGTCTTAGCACTTCTGTGCTTTTTGGCAGAATGAGATACTCCAGGCCCAGCTAGTGTTTTCCCATCCCAGTGCTGGCATCAGCCGTTTCCCCCAAAGAGCCCTGGTTTCATTGAGTAGGCAATGGTTTTCTGAAGCCAAGATCTAGGCTTTAGTAAATGCTCATGATTATTAGGATTTCACTGCTTCCAGGCCCGTCAGTGGACAGAACTGGGATATACACACACAAATATAAATGTAAATGTATATACATATATAATGTTTATATTTATTATTTGAGTATAGTTGACACACAATGATACATTACTTTCAGGCATACAACATAGTGATTCAACAAGTTTATACATTATGCTATACTCACTACAAGTGTAGCTACAATCTGCATCCAAACATCACTATTAACAAGATCATTGACTGTACTCCTTAGGCTGTGTCTTTTATTCCCATGACTTATTCATTCCATAACTGGAAGCCTGTATTTCCCATTCTCCTTCACGCATTTTGCCTACATGCCACACATACACCCCTTTGGCAACCATCAGTTATTCTCTGTATTTTATAATATATATTTTAAATATAGATGTAACTATACATTTAAATATACACCTATATATATACAATATATATAATATATAGACAGAAGCGTATATAATATATATACACCTACACATACATATACCCGTTTATATCTATATTTCTGTACCAATCTATATATGTTGAAATACATGGGTTCATACCTATGCCTTTAATTCTAGTATAAAGGTACAGCATTCATTCCATTTTATTCCTTTCTATTCTTTGGCCCTCTTAGTACAGTGAGAAACCTGACTCTTATCTTTTAGTACGTTTACTTATTTGTTCAGTCTCACAGCATGAAGCCAATCTCCCATCTTGGTGGTGCCCCCTGTCCAACATGGTAGCTTCCTCCCGCTGGACTCTGACTCCTCATTCCAGGTTGCACAAGCCTAGAATCAGCCAGTTTGAGTTCCGACTCCTTGACCTGGGCTCTCCCACTTCATGGATGCCCTTCTCACTGTTTGGATTCTACCACTCCAGAGTGGGTCATTCCTCCAACTTCCGCTTGGGGCCATGGTGGCTCCCTTGCACCGGGGTGACTCCCCTAATGGCCTGTGTTTTACCCTGGATGGTAGAATTTACCCATCATGTTAAGTTCCAATTGCCTACAGTGATTGATGGTTTGATGGCCTTTATTGGCATCAATTCCTTCCCTGTCTCACATCCTTACATCCCTATTGGTGTATCCTCAACTTATCACATAAACTGCTTCCTTTTGAATCCTTATCTCAGTCTCTGCTTCTGGGGAATTCTAACTCAGACACTTCTTTGCCCCTCCAGGCCTAGGAGAAATAGTGGTTTTTCCACTGACACTAGTCTCAGATGCTTCATCATTTATTTGTTCATTGATTCCATCTAACGTTTTGGAAACAATCCGCTCATTGCTCTCTTCCTTTAACCTAAGTTATCATCTGCTCTGTGGAGACTGACTGAAGCACACCCAAATAGGGCTTTCTCCTCCTGCTGTATCCGCTGTCTGTGGCCAGTGCCCAAGGACACAGATTTTTTTTCTAGGATCTGACCTCCTTGTTTAGGAATATCAGCTTGAATTCTGACGAATAAAATTCTCCACTTTGTTACATGTTTTTCAAGTTCACAAGAGGGGACCACTTCTTCTGTGTGATCCAAGTCCTCTTCCTACTTCCAACACATTGCATTTTGCTTTTCTTCTGTACTTGGTAAGATTTCCTTTGGCGCCATGAGGGGCAGATTGTGCTCAGGCTAATTGTTAGTTGACTTGGTTCTATGCCAATGAGGAAGTGGGGAATTTGAAAATTTCCAGGAGGGTGAATGTATCAGTATCAACATTTAACCTCCTCCAGGGTCTGTGTTCCAGTAAAATGAAGATGGTGAATTAACCAGCTCCCTCCTTCATGAAGGCGAGCTACCCCTTGGATGTCTTTCACTCTATACCACTTTGATTTCAATCTTGTTGATTAGGGTTTATGAATTCAGTATATGAATCTTAGCTATTCTCCACCTTACCATATAATCCATCTAAAACGGTGAGACAGTCTATCATCAAATCCAG